GCATGGTCCACGCTGTGAGTGAGGGAGCATATTAGAATCCTACATTGACTGGTGATATTTACACTATTCAGTTAATAAAGTGAGGGCAATCTTTCCGCAATTATCCCTATCTCTTTCTATTGTCATTCCAAGAGTTTTAAGTCTTGTCGCAATGTTATTCATTTCAATAACATGCTCATGCATGGTATGAGAACCATCAAATTTCATGGTGGTTAAGGTATTCATCGTATGTCTGCAAATCACTTGTCAGTTGTTTGGGAACGTTATTTCACAAATTTCATGTACTTCTTAGCAATCTCAATTTTAGGGATACTGAACTTTATATTCCTTGCTACTAAGGTCATCGACAAAAACATCGTGCATAATCTGTTTGATCTTTTCCAAACATTATGGAAATATCTTTCATCATAAATGCTCTCATTAGTTAGATCGACGTGTTTCTCAACTTAAAATGCCAAGACTAAGTTCAAAATACCTAAATTGAATTGAACTTGTTCACAGCAGTCAGAGAAATTAAAAACATTGATCAATAGTAGAGATGAAACATACAAATGCAGAAAAACGAGAACATATACTGCAAAAATATATAAAATGCTCTAACACTAATGCTTTGAATTTTAACTTAAATACTTGAATTTAGATTTAGATAACATAACATTAAACGCCGTAGTTCTACTTTGAGTGATAATACGTTATACTATTGTAATAAACATAATTATACTAATTTAATTTTACTTAATTGGTAATTAAATGTACTCCAATAAAACATGTCTGTTATCTTTAGCACAAAACACATAAACTAAGTATATCAATTAAACATGATCCTGTTCAAGATAAATAAAATTATTTGATTATTATTTGGACGATCCATAACAATTTTATAATTTATGAATGTCAATATACTATTGACAACAATAATCCTCATATCATCTTCATTTATAAGCATCAAACTATCAAGAGTAATTGATAAATAAATTATGTAATTTGATGTTCGTAATATCATATAGTTTGGCCACTATGACGACTTAACAACAACATTAATCGAACATTAATTACATAAATATAACATTTATCACTTAATATTTCTAGTTATTATCTTGTTTATTCATATATTACACGTTCTCACGTGGCCACAAAACACACAATAAATCCATCACTTGACTATTGGCATTTTTGAGCAATAAACAAAACATATGTAGTCATAATCATAATTTAAATAACGATTGTGTTATATTTAAATAACAACTCACATAATGATTTATCAACACAAATGTTGCGAGAT